GCATAACCAATGGACATAAACAACAATGCTGGGGGGTGGGGAGACAGGATGGGGAGGAGTGTGGCTAAAGGGGAAAAAAGGAGAAACATCTGTAACAAAAATAAATTAATAAAAATTGGAAAAAATATTCAAATGAACTCCCCTGGCTGGAGTGGCTCACTCAGTTGAGCGTTATCCGTACACCAAAAGGTTGCTGGTTCAGTTCCCCATCAGGGCACGTACCTGGGTTGCAGGTTTGATTCCCCAGTTGGAGAGCATAGGGAAGGCAACCAATTGATGTTTCTCTCTCACATTGATGATTCTCCGCCCCCCCCCCCCCCTCCAGCATGTTCTCCGGTGCATGTCCTTGGGTGAAAAACAAAAAAAATGAAATGAACTCTGTAAGGTTCCTAGGATAGGTCTTCTCCTTCCCTATAGACAAGAAATCCCATGTTCAGAAATGAGCAGTTGATTGGGAGAAGTCAGTGCTGGAGGGAGGCAGAGTGCTGCGGGCTGAGTCAGTGTGGGGAGACCAGGCCCTGCCCTCCTGGTGTGCCAAGCCCAGAGCACCAGACAGCGACAGGCACAGCATTGCCGGGTACTCAGTGGCGCCCTTGAAACGTTATTTCTCCCCTTTGAGCTGCCTCCTCCTCCTCATCTCTAACGTGAAGATGATAGAAGCCACTCCCCCTGAACCGAACCTGCTCGCTGCCTTTGGTTTTCAGATGGTTGACCCAGAAGCGGTTTGAATGGTCCTGTAGCGGCTCCTCCTCATCACCCTCTCCTCTAACCATCTACCACTGGCCCTAGAGCCCCTCCCTCCCCCACTGGTTTCTCCCCACCAGTGCGCACTACCACCAACTTAGTTCTATTTGCTGGGGGGTCTCAGCCCCTGGCAGCTGTTGACCCCACCCCTCTAGGTACTGTCTGTTCCAGGAGTCTCAAGAGTCTTCATGTAAGACCCTGCCAGCTCTTCCAGACTCTCCTGGGAACGCCCCCTTGGGCCAGAGCACAGGGTCTGACTCTCCAGGCTCGAGGTCTCTGGCTGGTAATTAGGGGAGAGTGTATTACCATGCCGGGCTGGCGGGGCTGGTGGGGCTGGTAGGGAGAGACCGCCACAGAGAACCAGCCTTGATCTCTGACTTGAAAGGCGGAGGTATCGGGGGTGCCCAGGCCTACATGTGCCCAGAGGCGTTTGATCCAAGTTCCTCTGAGGCTGTTAAACCACTGTAGTGAGTTGACAGTGCACAGTGATGGCAAAGAGAAACTTCTCACACCGCCACTCTCTGCCTTCCCTTTGATCACCAGCCTGGTGCTGTGAGATGGCCAGTCAGTCAGGGATTCACCCGAGGTCTGAAATACTCCTTCATTCAGGGAAGCGGCAGCATTTCCACGGAGCTGATCTGTTCCCACTCCACCACCTCCAGCAGTCAAGCCCCAGGGAAGCATCATCCTTTCTGGTTGGTGTTAATGAACTTTGGTTGGTGCCTGGAAAAGCCTGCTGCTGCTGGTTAGGATGTGGCCTGTGGAGCCAGGGCCTGGGTTGAAGCCTGCTCTCCCACCTGGTCTGTAACTTAGTTTCTCTGGGCCTCGGTCTCCTTGGTTGTGAGGTGGAAAGGATACTGGTAACTACCTTCCAGGGACCGACGGAGTAGTGGTGGCTGACTTATGGGGGATCCTTCATGAGTGCCTGCCCCAACAGTGATGCACTACCTCCGATGATACAAAAGGGCCTGCTTCTGTAGGAGGGGCTTCCGTGGGGTCAGCTGCAGGAATGTCACTTCTGTGGTGTGCTAACCACTGGAAACAACGGAGCACAGAGGAAGGGCCTTGCTGCTGGTGCTGGGGGTGGGAGGGAGTCATTGAAGACTCCTGGAGGAGACATTTCAGGAGCCTGCGCTGGGAGGGGTTAGGTAGAGGAGGGCTCACAGAGGCAGCTGAGTGTTTGCAGGGGTGCCACGTGTTGTTTTGTGGTACTCGATCTAGGGTATTCACTCACCTGTCCCTTACCCAGCACCTGCTCAGGGTCAGGCTGGGCACACATGGTTGAATGGAGGTTATTTAGACAACAGTCCCTGCCAGAAAGTGGTCACCAGAGTCACCAGAAGACAGATGTTACCTACGAGGGGTGTGTGGTGGTGGTGCTCTGCTAGGTTCAGAGTCTGCCCTTCTGTGTGGGCACCATGTGCCTGGGGGGAGTGTGTGCCTCTGGTGCCAGGTACTGGGGCATCTGTCAGTGGTGCAGTGACGGCTCAGTTCAGAGCAGCACCCGCACACTTGCTGAAGACACGCTGGCATGCCAAGGAATGTGCACACCGTGCTGAGGGTGTCCCCCCATCTTCTTTTCCCGGCTGAGTGCTGTGCTTCAGCCTTGCTAGCTCTCTTCTGACAGAACCTTCCCTGGACCCCCGCGGACTCCAGTTCCTCGCGGTGCTGGTTCTCCTCAGGCTTGGAATGACTTGTGTCCATTTGTCTCCCCCCTTGGAGTGCCTATACCCATCAGACAGTGAGGCCTGCCTGATGCAGCATGTGGTCCATGCTCAGCAAGTGGACTGAATGAATGCACGGACATTAGAGGACACTTAGTAAGTGTGCTACTTGTTAAATCCCTTCTTCTGAATTGGTCAGTGTTTTAATAATTCAAGTGCTCTCACCACACAGTGGTTTTTACTGTACCGTGGAGGTAGGTGGGTGTTCAGGTGACCGTGGAGGTAGCTGGGTGTTCAGGTGATTGCTGCCCACACAGGAACTGGAAGAGCTCACTGTACTTGCCATCTCTGGAATAAGAGTTATGGTCTGTTTTCAGTAGCTCCTCAGTAGGGGCTTTGAATTGGGTGCTAGGCAGCAGGTGTGAGGAGCCCTTGAGCTCTGAAGATGGTGTGTCATCGTGCACATTTTCCTTAAGGTCAGCGTTCTTACCAGCACAGTACATCATCAAGGCTGTCCTGCAGTGAAAACCACAGATCAGCCAGCCTCCAGCAAACAGGCTAGAAATCTAGAAACAACGCCCCCTGCCCCCCCAGGTGTTTGCAACAGTTTTTAGAGGATCATACACATCTTTGTGCTTCAGAGGCAGCTTCCTGGGCCAAGGAGTCCCCTGCGCTCTTGCTTGTGAGGTTGATAGCTTTCAGAAAGACTGCAATGCAGCGGTCCCTGAAGTCTCTGTTAATATGGAAACAACCAGTGGTGAGGTCGTTTGCGCCCCTCCACAGCCGCTGACTGGGATCTGCGGTGTGAAGCAGGGGATGATGAGGGTGATGTTCTCCTGGCCTTAGCCGGCTGGCCGTGAGAAGGGACGTGGTGTGTGTGGAGGCTGTGGCCAGCGCAGCGCAGCCTGCTGCAGCTCCTGCCTGGCCAGTGCAGTGGCTCCCAGCATTGAGGAACTGAAGATGCCTCTGCAGCTGGTGCGCCGAGACCTTGTTCTCTTCCCCGGTCACATGGTGGCTTACGAGACGGTAAGGGGCTTTAAAAATCTTGCATACTGTCTGAATGTTTATGAATATCCCTAGTAATTCGGGTGAAGAATCAGGATCAAATAGATCTCGTCTGAACCTAAGAAATGAAACTTTGGTTTCTTATTAAGGACAGTTTGGACATTTGAACGGTTGTCTTATTTAGTGTTGACAAATGCCCTCTAATAAATTATTGAAGATGTTCTTTAAAGAGAGCTGCTTTTTCTTTGGCTTGCTAGATAAACATGGTTGAATTCCAGAGATGGAGATATGGGTGTGATATATTTGTTTACCTGAAGCAATATGACACTTTTCATTAATCTGTTTTACAAAATCTCAGCCATATGGCGGTGGGTGGTGAAGTCTAATTTCCTTAGTTCTTATTTGCCTTCTGATGAGCACTCTCGGGTGTGTGGAGCTCGGTGCTTATCCTGGGGTGGGTCAGGTTCTGCCTCCAGCTGCTCCTCTGTGCTTGCCTACGAGGGAGGCTGAGAGTCAGAGCTCAGATTCGTCTTGCTGTGAATTGGTGGCCCCCGACTGTATTAAATGCATCATGAGTGGTAATTTATATGTCCCAACACCAAGAAATATAATGCCAGGGTTACCATGGCAACTGCATGCATCCTGAAAAGCTTATGAATGGGTTCTGAGCCTTCTGGTGTTTTAAGTGAGAGGTTCCAGCTGAGAGGCTGCAGTCATGCTTAGTGTAAATAAATTCAGCTGCCCGTGTGCAGCACGTCCTTTCTCTGTCACCCGAGTTGTTCATTCAGCTCAGTTCTTTCTCTGGTGACATCTGCCTTGGTGCTGGGTTCCTGGCAACAGAGTGTGGTTGAGACATGGTTTTCACCTTCAGGTTGGAGGCCTAGCATGTGTTTTCAACAGCCCAGCACCTCAGTCCGTGGGGTGTGAAGCGAGCTGCGACCCTCGCCATCGCCAGGGCATAGTTGCAGCGTGTGCTGCATGGCCGTGGCAAAGCCTCCTCTGCATGTGAATAGCTCCTCTCCAGTAACTCCCTACCTGGCTCCAAGAGCCTGACTACTGGGGCAGCCCTGCTGGCTGCTCTTCCTGGTGTCCTGAGGTGGTTCTGGAGAGCCAGCCCAGGTCAGAAAGACCCCTGTCCAGATGCCAGCTTGTGACAGTAACAAAGGCTGATCATTACCAGAGGATTGTCTGCCATGTTAGAAATATACGTGGTATAGTTTCTCGTGTATTTAAACTGTATCAATCAATACCTTGACTGTGTGGGACTACTCTTTGTCAGTGTCTGTAAAAGGCCTCTCGACAGCCTGGGGGCCTGGGGGCCTGGGGGCCTGGGGGCCGAGTCTAAGGAGCTCTGGGTGATGGTGGCCGCTGAGGCAGTAGCTCAGAGATGGATCGCCAGGTTCCGGAGGGATGTCACACGCCTGTAGAATTCATTCTCTTCGTTAATAAACAGTCAGATCATACAGTTTGAAGTTTAAACTTTCTGGCAGGTTAACTTTCAGGCTCACATCACTGGGCATGTTGCGGCAACTCACCTAGAGGTCTCAGTTAAGAGTCTTCATCTAATTCAATTCCTTTATTTTGCAGATGAGGAAACTGAGACCCACAGAAGTTATGCCACTGGGTTAAGGTCCCAAAGCAGGTCAGAACCAGATCTAGGACCAGAACCGGCTCCTGGCTGCCTTCTCCTAAGGATCGCTTTCCTGACAGAAGAGGTTCGCTCTTGGTTACTTGTTCTTGCTTCCTGTGAGCACAGGGACCCCATCGTAGTGACAAGAGCAGCTTGCTTGTTGATCATTTAAAAATTTCAGCTTTCTCATGTTCTTTCTTCTGTCGTTTATTGAACTTCTGCTCAGTGTGCTAGAGACCAGGCCAAGTGGTATGAGAGCCCAGCCTGAGCATCCTGATAACTCTGCCTGTCCGTGTTTGCAGAGAAGCCAAGCGCCCAGTGGTCATGGGCGGGGTGTGGGGATGTGTGTGTGGACCTGAGTCATCACCTGTTAAGTCAAGGTCATGGTACTGTATTTTCTGAGACAGACCACAAAGTACTATTAGGTACAGCTTACAGGTTACACCTCACTACAAGTAATAAGAGATTCAGCTTGCAAAGCTTGAAATACAAATTGAATTTTAACCAGATGCCAGTTAACCCAGAATTTTAACTTACCAGTCTTCAAGAAGATTAAGGTTTTATTGTAGAATTTACGTACAGACTGTGTTTTCCTAAGTGGCCTCAGTGCTGTCTCCCATCCTATGTGTTCTCACAGTGGCACCTTGACCAGGAGGTGGGGGGTCTCTGTCCCTTCCTTGTGAGCCTGGTTTGTGACCCGCCTCACCCAGTGGTGAGGCAGAAGTGATGCTTTGCAACTTCCACGCGAAGTCTTAAACATTTTTGCCTGGCTTCTCTTTTGGGGATACCTGCTCTGGGGCACCCAGCTGCCATGCCGAGAGGCCCAGTGAGCTCCCACAGGAGGACTGCATGGCGGGGCCCTCAGGAGCCCCAGCCAGCAGCCGTGGGCTGTGAGTGCGTGGCCACCGATGGCCCTGGCAGTCCACTGTTCTCACGTTCTCGCCGAGACCCCGGACGCCAGAGCAGAGAGTGCTACATCCTTTATCTGGATCCCAACCCACAGAACCTGTGGGCATGACAAGTGATGGTTCTCACCACTCTGTTTGGGGTCATTTAGTATGAAGCCTGGTTACTGGAATCCTTAGTGTTTCCATTCATTGCATGGTAAAGATAAAAAGCATAAGAAATTAGTGGCTCTTTGGATACTTAGCCTTACCTTTTAAAAATAACAGCTTTTGAAAGGTGATTTTCATACTGTCGGCTGCACCCTTTCACAGTGTGCAATTCTGCCGTTTTTAGTGTGCTCCCAGTTGTGTGTCCAGAACATTCCACCACCCCAGAGTGATGTCCAGACTCTGACTCTGGTTCACTCACAGACCAGCAAGATGGAAGACCGGGCCAGCTGTGCACCATGTGCAGCCACGGCGCCACGTGCTGGGTCCCGCAGGCACTGGGGCCAGGCTCATGAGTGCGTGAGTTCTGGTCGTGTGAAGGTGATAGCCGGACAGGTGGAGCATTTTTGGCTGCAGTGTCTCTGGAGCATCTGGTCTGTGCATGGGAGTTCCTGTTGAGTCTTGGATAAGCCAGGAGCTTTGACTGGGTTTTCATTGGAGGGTCAACAACTAAGGCTTTCAGGGACAGAGACCATGCTACAAACAGGAAGGGCATCTCTGGGTGTTTGGTGAGCATCTGACACATTCAGGGCACAGTGTGCTTATTCATTTTTCCTTGCTGTCCACACATGTCCGTGTGCGCCGATGTGCCCTCCTGTGGGTGCGTGCTGTTTCACACTCGCACACAACAGTTGATATCGTGGGCAAGAGCAAAGGCATGACCCAAGGCGGAAGGGGCTGCTAATAGCCTAGACCAGGGGTCAGCATACTTTCTCTGTAAAGGGCCAGAGAGTAAATGTGTGAGGCTTTGCGGGCCTGTCCGGTGGTAGACAATGTGTAAACCAATGAGTGTGCCTGTGTTCCAGTAAAACTAGTTACAGAACAGTGGCCCTCCTTTGCCTGGCCCCGGGCCTGAATACATCTGGCCACCTGCCTGTCCTACCTGTCTGCTGCTTAGGCTATGAGGCAGCGAGGGCATTCTCACAGTACTTAGCCCGTGGCCACCATCCTCCCTGCAGGCCCCATGAGGGCAGGAGGCACATTTCTCATTGTTGGATCTTGGCTCAGTAGTAACAGGAACCCATTAAATGGCTGATTAACCTTGGAGCCCTGAAGAAGTGATGGGGCCATCACAGTTGAGGGCTGGTGGGCAAAGGTGAGGGAGAAGGAGTGAGGCCAGTGGGCAGGTCCAGCAGCATCTGGACCCCACTGCTCAGGCAGGTGGTAAGACATGGGAAAACCCAGAATGGTGAGGACAAACAGGAATGCAGTCACCAGTTTCCCTTTGACCCAGGAACAATGTTGTTACACTTTCTCAACAGAACTGCATCAAAGGGGTCCTAGAAGTAACCATTCAGGTGGAGAAACCACCTTCAGTCTTAGAGACACTGCCTTCAGGTCTTGGAGACACTGGTTTTTCTTGATATGAGGGATCCTGTGACCCAGGAGCCCTCCATAAGAGATCTCTAAAGTGAGTGCCTTAGCACTGGGCCTTGCATGCTCCCCCCGACCCCCTCGTGGCATATTCGTTAATTTATAGTGAGTGAATCAGGCAATGGTGTTAGAAACCTGTAATAAACTCAAACAGAATTCAACAGTATAATCTCATTGAACTTGTTCTTTGGCTTAAAACAGAGATTTCCAATGGCTATGCCATAGCATTTTTACAACATGCAATACCTGACTATTTAGTGAGGGACACTGACCTTTTTTCCCTTAGCTTGTCAGATTTAAAAAATGACAGCAGCCCGGCCAGTGTGGCTCAGTGGTTGAGCGTCGACCCACACACCAAGAGGTCGCCGGTTCCATTTCTGGTCAGGGCACATGCTCAGGTTGTGGGCCCGATCCCCAGTGGGGGTGTACAGGAGGCGGCTAATCAATGTTCTCTCTCATTGGTGTTTCTGTCTCTCTCTCCCTCTCCCTTCCTTTCTCTCTAAAATCAATACAGAAAAAAAAATTTTTTTTTAAATGACAACAGCCAACACAACAATAGCTGGTATGTGTGAATGGATCAAAATTACGCCTTTTTAAAAAATCACATAAGCCCTGACCGGTTTGGCTCAGCGGTTAGAGCGTCCGCCTGCGGTCCGGAGAGACCCGGGTTCGGTTCCCGCTAAGGGCATGTACCTCCGTTGCAGTTTGTCCCCGGCCCTGGTTGGTCGTGTGGGTGGCAGCCACTCGAGGTGTCCCTTTCACATCGATGTTTCCCTCTCTCTCTCTTCCTCTCTCTCCCTCCCACTCTGTCTGTACAAAAAATGGAAAAATGTCGTCGAATGAGGATAAAAAAAAAAAAATCACATAAAAATATTCTTTTCGGTGTGATACAGAATTTTAGTAATTAGTTTATGTGCTGTGAAATGAAAAAGGTTGAAAATTGCTGGCTTGGAAGAATAAACATTAGTTTAACTGAAGGAAGACAGTAGCTTGATTTGTCAAAAAAAATTGATGTTCAATTAGAAATGACAAATTCTCACACAGATAAGCCCTGCATATGTTGCAGAATGGCGGTTCACGGGCAGACTCGTCGTTAGGATTGCTTTGCAAGGGTTTTCAGACCCAGACGGGAGTCAGCTCCCCTCCGAGTGCTTCCTGGGCAGCTGTGTCCCTGCACACTGCAGACGGAGGGGAAATGTGTCGTGAAGAAAAGGTTAGGATGGGACTTGCGTTTGTTGCAGCAGGAGGAGATGCCTCATCAGTATTTTAGACTGTTGAAGACAGAGATTATGAGATATTTTTTTTGTTTTTTTAATCCTCACCTAAGGATATTTTTTCATTTTTTGTTCAGATACAGTGGGAGGGAGAGAGAGGGTGGGAGAGAGAGAGAGAGAGAGAGAGAGAGAGAGAAAGAGAGAAAGAGAAACATCGACATGAAAGAGACACATGGAGCGGCTGCCTTGCGCACGGCCCTGACCCAGCCAGGGTCAGGGACAAACTGCAACCGAGGTATGTGCCCTTATCGGGAACCGAGCCCGGTCTCTCTGGACCGCAGGCCAGCGTGCTAACCGCTGAGCCAAACCAGCCAGGGCGAGATTGTGAGATGTTAAAACCTCTGAAATAATCTTGTTCAGTCCCTCTGCCAGCCCTCTTTCGCTGAGACCCAGCCCCCGGGCACAGAGGAGGTGTCAGAGCCCAGGTCGGTGCCTCCTGTCCAGCTCTCCTGCGTGACTGTGGCTGCCTGCTGCCCCTCCTTGGGGTGATCCTCCTCCAACCCCCACCATGGGGCTTGTTGCCCAGGGTGTAGGAGTCTTTTTTGGCTTAGTACCTTAACTCAAAACCCATAGACATCCTAGAACATTGTTTTCCTTTTTAGTCTGCCTGGGATTTTGAAAATTTCTCACAGTGCTGGATGGTTTAGCATTCACCACATGAGTGGTAAGGTTTATTCCAACTTGTAATTACATATCTTTTTTTTTTTTTAAATCCTCACCTGAGAATATTTTTCCATTTATTTTCAGACAGAATGGGAGGGAGAGATGTATATATATAGAGAGAAACATCAACATGAGAGGGACACATCAATTGGTTGCCTCCCCCACAATCCTGACCAGGGTCAGGGATGAACTGCAACCGAGGTACGTGCCCTTGACCAGAATCGAATCCGCAACTCTGGTCTGCAGGCCGGCGCTCTAACCACTGAGCTAAACAAGCCAGGGCACAACTACAGATCTTGTAAAATAGTTTTATTTCCGCCCTGGCTGGCTTGACTCAGTGGCATACCTTGGTTGCAGTTCAGTCCCCTGCCTTGGTTGGGGTCGTGCGGGAAGCAACCTGTCGATGTGTCCCTCTCAAGTCTATGTTTCTCTTTCTCTCTCCCTCCCTGTCTCCCTCTCTCCCACTCTATCTGAAGCTAAATAGAAAAATATCCCCTGGTGAAGATTTAAAAAAAAAATTTGTTTTCTGCATTCAGATTTGCTCCTCTAAAAATTCTGATTATAATATTAATTTAGAAGGCATCTACTATGAGTTGTTGAAAAATAGCTCTTGTATCATCTTTAATACAGATATTTTTGAAGTATAATTTATGCCTGAAAGT